GTGTGTGTGTGTGTGTGTGTGTGTGTACTACACTTGCACACGATACAAAAGGAGAACTTGACACGTAGAAGGTGTCATCCTTATATGAGACAGACATTTTTCTTCTTCTGAAAGGCCTTGCTCCATTAAATGATGACAGGGGGCTCTTGTGGCCTAGAGGTTAAGGTGTTTGCCTCTCATTCAAAGGTCCCGCTTTCGAATCCGGGTAGCGACCGAAAAATTTACTTCTCTAAAATTGTCTCCTTTCACCTCCTTTCCTGCTCTCTAGAAATATTCTGTCGTCTGCTTTAGTCTCCTCTTTCTGCCCCCACCCCCTCACCTCCTTTACCATGTCCTCTGGGCTCCTGACTCTTTCTGCAGCCTTTCTACTGCTACGCCTTGGCTCCTTACTTCTGTCTTTCTGCCACACCCCTGATCTTCTGGTAGGAGAGATGTACACCTAGTCTTCTTGGACAAGGGCGAAAAATCTCGGGGGCCCGTGTGCAAGTTGCGCCCGCTAAAGATCCCTTGAGTAGGCTTCGGCCGCGATCTGGGCAAAATTAAAAATTTCCTACCAACTGAGAATATTAGGTGTGTCCCGCGTTTTTCAAAATAGCGAAGATGTCACAACTTCATAGAGGATGTCGGGGGAGGGGAGAGGCCCTCACTCCGTCGCCGACTTTCCTCTCCCCTTGCTCTCCCCAAAGGGGGAGTGGACAAGCTTGGGGCTAGCTCCAGACAGGTGACTTTTCTCTGTCTACACCTATAGAATAACAGTAAAAAGGCTGCAGAAAGAGTCAGAAGCCCGGAGGAGGGGGCAAAGGAGGTGAGGGAGTGGGGGCAGAAAGAGGAGACAAAAGCAGACAACAGAACATTGCTAGAGAGCAGGAAAAGAGGTGAAAGGAGACAATTTCGGAGAAGCAAAAGTTCCGTCGCTATCTGAATTTAACTCGGAGAGGCGACCGTCGGTGGTTCGAACCGCAGGCCCGACGTTGTGTCCTTGAGAAACTCAATTTACACGAATTTTCCTCACTTCACCCAGTTGGGAATGGGTACCCGGCAATAGACAGCGAAAGATCTCGTCAGTATGTTAGTTTTTTTTAGCGCCTATAAATGGCCACGTGTACTATATTATGCTTCCCAGGAAGTTGGGGCTGTTTTGAAAGCTCTCAGGTCTGCTGGAGTAATAGTATAGATTGTGAAGCGTGTACAGCTTGCTGTTGAGCGGGGATATGCGCTGTACAATAAATGCCAATTTTCATAATATGTTATTATTAAGTATAGTTCCTACAACTTTGCTGTTTACTAGTCGTCTATGGATTCTGTGTAGGATTCCTATGATAAACATAATTTGTATGACCATTACTGTTCCGATTTTACTATCGTCAAATAGATGGCATCAATAATTAATCTGATTTTGAGTTTGGCTGTAAATAAGAGATACCGACTTCTAAAATGACCTAAATTGTTTCGATGAGGGCGTACAAATACCAACATAAAAATACAATATAAGGCTTCATATAAAAAGGTGGTCTTCTTTCCTTTTTAGGACTGTTGTCTATGGGCGCAGACGTCGACCAACAGGACGTCCAGGGGGTGACGCCTCTAGGTGCATGCTGTTGGGACGATTTCCATGAGACTTCGAAAGAGCTGATTCGTTATAAAGCCAAAATGAACACCCCGGATGTTAATGGAGGAACTCCACTTTTTCGTGCATGTGCTTACGTCAGCGTCAACTGTGTGCGAGTGCTCACTGAGAACGGCTGTGACGTGAACATCGCCAGCAAAAGATTTGGACTGACACCATTAATGGTAGCTCTGCCGTCTTTACGCTGCAGTCATGTGTGTAAGAAAAAGAAAATCTCCGACACGTTAGAGATCTGCCAGATGTTGATCAAGGCTGGCTGTGACGTGGACGCTCAAGACTTCAGAGGACGCACGGCTTTGCACCATGTTGTGGACAACAGAGATGTTTTTGGGCTTTGTTTACTAGCAGAAAACGGATGCAATTTGGAAGTCTGTGACGAAAAATGTCGAACACCATTTCAGAAAGCTCTCTTTGACGATAGGCCAGCTTACGAGGCTGCCAGATTTCTTGTGTACTACGGTGCAAACTGTCGAGAGGAGATCGAGGTTCATTGTAACGGTAAAACGGAAGTGAAGTCTCCTCTGGCGTGGGCGATGGAGACTATACTGCAGGCAGACCACCGCTACCAAATCTATGAGCGACATTTGCTGCTGAGAGTTTTGAGGAAAGCAACCTACCCATACAGTGGTGGTCTTTCATCAACAAGTCTGAGTTTACCTAAAATGTTCGAAAGCCTTGACTTTGTTCATCTATATATGGCATTCGATAATGAAACTGTGGATTGGATGCACTCATCAGTAGCTGCTTCCCTTCAGTTCCAGGCACAGCTGAAACTTCGAGAAATGTTAGGAGTAAGAAACACCCTAAGTAGGATTGACTCATTGCCTGTTGGGAAATATTTAAAGAGACACCTTATGCTTGGTCTTGAGGAAGAGCTGCCGTTATCAAGAAGCTGCATGGTGCATGTGTACATTAGGGACAGAGAGAACAGAAAGCTGGAAGTCATGGTGGAAAATGGTGCTTATGTCAACATCATGGTAGGTGGGTTCACCCCTCTGGGTACAGCCATCAGAGAAAAGAACTTGGAAGCCTTTAGGATACTGGTCTCAAAGTCCAAAGTCGCCTCCATTTGTCAAAACCCGGTCAGTGTAGAAGGTGACACGCCCCTCCACGCCGCTGCCTCATTTGGTTTCATCGACGTTATCGGCGATATCATCCAAGCAGGCGGTTCTGTTAAAGCGCTCAATAAGTTAAGGTACACTCCTCTGCACTGCGCTGTGATAGCCGGCCATTTTGAAGTAGCCTCGCTTTTGATCAGACGTGGCGCTGAGGTCAAAGGTCAGGAGACGCTGGGCTATCCATTGCTCCACCTGGCAGCTGGGAGCCGCAACACTGAGGTAGTGGAGATGATGCTGGAGAGAGGGGTGGAAGCTAATCTCAGGGATCATCAAGGGAACACACCGCTGCACATAGTGGCCAGCCAAGTAAGGATCCTTTAGCAGTAACTTTATTGCAGACAGACAAAAATCGCAAAGACACATGGTACACCCATAAGACCTATCGAATACACAATAAACACACACAAACACAAACACACACACATACACACACACACACACACACAAACATACACATACGCATACACCCATACAGCACACACATGCAACACGCACAAAAACACACATATACACATGCATTCATGCATACACGCACACGCACTTATACAAACACTCTCTTTTCTTCTCTGTCTTTTTGTCTATCTGTCTGTCTGTCTGTCTGTCTGTCTGTCTGTCTGTCTGTCTGTCTG